AAATACAGAGGCAGAGCAGCATCGAACAAACTATCAAACTACAGTGGGAAGGCTGTGGAGGGTTGGGAGGCAGCGGGGGGGAAGTAAGAGATCAACCGAAGGACTTGCATGCACACATATAAGCATAACCAATGGACATAAGACACTGGGGGATAGGGGAAGCCAGGGGAATATCAAGAAGGGGGGAAAAAGGAGACATATATAATACTCTTTGTAATACTTTAAGCAATAAAACAAATTTTTTTTTAAAAAAAGTAACCTTCATTACACATTTAGTAACGGCATTAAGAATATCAGAAGAGTAAATTCTCTATGCACTTTATTTGCAAAAGGAGGAAAAAAGATTGGGATTCTTAACATATGATCATGTTATTTCACTTTTTTTCTTTTTTAATTTAATTTTTAAATTTTCAATTACAGTTGACATTCAATATTATTTTATATTAGTTGTAGGTATAAACATAGTGTTTAGATGTTTATATAATTTATGGAGTGATCCCCCCAATAATTCTAGTACCCACCTGGCAGTACACATAGTTATTACAATATTATTTTTAATAGTTATTTTTTTATTGATTTTAATATTTTTTATTGATTTCAGAGAGGAAGGGAGAAAGAGATAGAAACATTAATGATGAGAGAGAATCACTGATTGGCTACCTCCTGCATGCCCCCAACTAGGGATTGAGCCCACAACCCGGGCATGTGCCCTTGACTGGAATTGAACCTGGGACCCTTCGGTCTGCAGGCTGATGCTCTATCCACTGAGCCAAACCAGCCAGGGCTACAATATTATTAACTACATTCTGCAGGCTATACTTTACATCCCCGTGACTATTTTGTAACTACCAATTTGTACCTCTTAATCCTTCACATTTTTCACCCATCCCCAAGCCCCTTCCCCTCTGGCAACTATCAGTTTGTTCTCTGTATCTGTAAGTCTGTTTTTGTGGAATCTTTAGATTCCACAGATAAATGAGATCATACAGTATTTGTCGTTCTGACTTATTTCACTTAGTATAATGCCTTCTAAGTCCATCCATGTTGGAAATGGCAAGATATCCTTCCCTTTTTTGGCAGCATAATGTTCTATCGTATACATATGCATCATATGTTTTTAAATCATTGATCCATTGATGGACACCTGGGCTGCTTCCCTATCTTGGTTCTTGTAAATAATACTGAGGTACAGATATCTTTTCAAATTATTGTTTAACTTGTTTCAGATAAATACCCAGAAGTGGCCTGGCTGGGCTGGGCTGTGGGCCACAATTTGCACCATGGGGTCTCTGCAATGTCGGCTGCGATTATATGGTAGTTCAGTTTTAACTGTTTTTTGAGGAACCTCCATAGTCTTTTCCACAGAGGCTGCACCAATTTGTAATCCCATCAACAGTGCAAGAAGAGGGTTCCCTTTTCTCCACATTCTTGCCAACACTTGTTTATGATCATGTTATTTCACCTGGGTCTCCACTGGGGGTTACAAGCCAAAATACCTATCGCCGCCAGACAGACACTGTCAACCAGGAAGCTGGCCAGGTGGGACACTGAAGTTTGCACATGCCCCATCCAAAGGTGGAGGCCATTGTTCAGCTGTGACAAACTGTTGCCGTGTGGAAATACAGGGACAGTTGCAGATCTCTGAGTTTTTGATGAAGTCAAAATTCTGAATTTTAATAAAGGAACTAGAGGCCTGGTGCACAATTCGTGCACAGGTGGGGTCCGGCTGGCCCACCCCGATGGTGGCCATCAGTGCTAGGCCAGTGGGGGGAGGGGACGCAAGAGGTTGGGGGAGGGGGGGTGATCGGGGCCCCAATTGGGCCGGTTGGCCGCTGCAGTGCATGTCATAGTGACCGGTCATTCTGTTGTTCTGGTCGCTTGGCTTTTCTATATATAGATTCCTAAATAAAACTGTAGACAGCTATCATAAATATTTTAAGGAAATTCTATATGGCAAACAATGTCAGTCAAGGCAGATATGACCACTGGACACTGGTTTGAAACCTCCATTCTATCCCCACTATTTAAGTTCACCTAAGACCTAGGTGTGGGAACACTGGACCTGCCCCAGACTGCGTACTTCAGCAATTCACAGAGCTGGTCATGGGTTACTTGGTAGATAAGCATGCTTTCTGTAAAGATTAAATCAGGACATATCAAATTATTATTATCGAGACCAGCCGCAAAGGCAAATTATTAAAATATTATAGATTCTGGTGATTTTAACATATATCCAAACATGAGGGTTATAATTAATTGGAAAGGAAAGTCTAAAACCACAAGCTGTGATATGACATTATTAATGGAACTAGAGGCCGGGTGCACAAAAATTTGTGCACTTGGAGGGGGTTCCTCAGCCCGGCCTATGCCCTCTTGCAGTCTGGGACCACTCGGAGGATGTCCATCTGCTGGCTTAGGCCCGCTCCCTGGGGTACCAGGCCCAAGCTGGCAGTCAGACATACCTCTGGCAGCCCAGCAGCCCTCGGGGGATGTCCACTTGCCAGCAGGGAGCAGGCCTAAACTGCAGTTGGACATCCTTAACGCTGCTGAGGAGGCAGGAGAGGCTCCCACCACCACCGCTGTGCTGGCAGCCATCAGCCTGGCTTCTGGCTGAGCAGAGCTCCCCCTGTGGGAGCGCACTAACCACCAGGGGGCAGCTCCTGTATTGAGCGTCTGCCCCCTGGTGGTCAGTGTGTGTCATAGTGACCAGTCATTCCCAGTCATTCTGCTGTTAGGGTCAGTTTGCATATTACCCTGTTACTATATAGGATAGAAGCCTGGTGCATGGGTGGGGACTGGCTGGTTTGCCCTGAAGGGTCTCCCGGATCAGGGTGAGGGTCCCGCTTGGGTGCCTGGCCAGCCTGGGTGAAGGGCTGATGGGTGCTTGCAGGCTGGCCACACCCCCTTCAGTGTGAGGGTCCCCACTGGGGTGCCTGGCCAGCCTGGGTGAGGGGCTGATGGGTGCTTGCAGGCTGGTCAAGCCCCCCCCACCAGTGGGGACCCTCACCCTATGGAGGTTTGGCCAGCCTGGGTGAGGGGCTGATGGCTGTTCTCAGGCTGGCCACACCCCTTTGAGGGTGGGGGGTCCCCACTGGGCTGCCTGGCCAGTCTGGGTGAGGGGCTGAGGGCCATTTTCAGGCTGACCAAGCCCCCCCTGGCAACAGAACCCCCCAGCCTCTCCTTTTTTTCTTTTTTTTTATTCTGAGATTTATTTACCTTCTATAATTGAAACTTTGTAGCCTTGAGAGGAGCTCAGAGCCAGCCAGGGCGGCTGGGAGGGAAGCTTGGCTTCCTCCATTGCCAGGGGCAACCCATTCCTCCTCGCTCCAGCTCCATGGCCACAGCCTGCTGAAAGCAGGTATCTGGGGTTTATTTATCTTCTATAATTGAAACTTTGTTGCTTTGAGTGGAGCTCAGAGCTTGGCTTCCTCCATCATTGGGGAAACCAAGCCTCCTGCTTGCTCCAGCTCCGTGGCTGCCGACCGCCATCTTTGTTGGGTTAATTTGCAAATAGTCACTCTGATTGGCTGGTGGGCATGGCTTAAGGCATAGTGAAGGTACAGTCAATTTGCATGTTTGTCTGTTATTAATGTAGATATTTAATAAACACTGATACAGAGCCTTAATTACCAATATTTGGTTATATGCTAGGAGGTAGTAGAATAAATGAAACATGATTCATGTTCTCAAGGAGTCCATTCTACTAGGGAAAATGCAGAAATATGTTCATTCCAATACAACATGGGTAAATGCTATTATCTATATACTAGAGGCCCAGTGCAGGAAATTCATGCATGGGTAGGGTCCCTAAGTGGCTCCCGGCCGGGGCCTCCCTTTCCCTGGATGCCTGTTGCCACCGCAGGATGGGGCAGGGACAGTCAGGGGGAGGGGCCAAGGGTATTTGGCCAGCAGGCCCCACACCCTGGTCAAACTACCAGTTGAACTCCTGGTCAAACTCCCTGTCGAGGGGACAATTTGCATATTAGGCTTTTGTTATCCTATATAATAAAAGAGGAACATGTAAATTGACTGTCCCTTCACTACACTCACCAGCCAATCAGGGTAAATATGCAAATTAACCCAACAAAGATGGTGGGTTAATTTGCATACAAAGGCACCGGGCGGAGAG